AATTGTCGAGACACAGTTTCTCCGTTGAGGGTGGGAGCTTGCGGTTGTGCCTGGTGTCTGAGGCAGTTCTTTGCGAAACTTGTCGGATATCCGTTGGATCGAAACAACCGATACAAGTAGGCAAGCTCTTTCTTAAGGAGATAGGCGCTGTTGCAATAACGATAGGCCCGGTGGAACAGAGTTCCAAGGGAATAGGATTTAATCATACGGATGCCTTGCCTACCAATTTCCTAGCTGGCCTCGAGTCAGTTCTACTGGCCTCAGCCCTTCCAGCAGACAGGCGCGCAGACATACGCAGCTGTCCCACTGGTATCCTTCGGCAAAAAAGACGCCAACAAACCCTACCGGCCGATGAAGCACAAGGATTACGATCACTGAGATCGGACCACAATATTGTTGTTGTTCCCGCTGACAAGGGTGGCGCTACTGTCGTCATGGACAGAATTGATTACGTCAACAAGGCGAATGGAATCTTCGGTGACGTAGCGTACTACACTCTTCTTGCCGAAGACCCGACGAAAAAGCAAGCCGCTGCCATCAAGAAAAAGGTTAATGAACTCACTCGTCTGAAAGTTATAAGTCCAGATGATTCCAAGCTGATGACCCTCAGTGATCCCCATATCGCACGCGCGTATGGTCTCCCAAAAGTGCATAAAGTGGACACCCCACTGAGGATTATTGTACAACTCATCGGATCACCTACGTACAATATAGCTAAGTGGTTGTACAAGCATCTGAAGCAGTTAACCCATGGGTCTGACTACAGCATCAACAATTCTCTCGCGTTCCTCCAAAGGATCCAAGGCCTCGAAGTAAGTGCCGATGAATGCCTCCTGTCCTTTGACGTCGTTGCCTTATTTTCTTCCATACCACACGATTTGGCAATTGACTGCGTCGCCCAACGCTTATAGGAGAATCCTATTGAGATTCCAACTCAACATATTATAGAACTGCTCAAACTCTGCCTTAGAAACTACTGTCGATTCGACAATAAGTTCTACCAACAGGTAAAGGGAACCCCAATGGGCTCGCCAATATCTGGACTGGTCGCAGAACTTGTATTGCAGCGACTAGAAAAGAAGGTTTTCCAA